CTTTCCACCAAAAAACCATGTATTTTGATATGAAAATATTAAAATCAAGTTTAAAATGTCATTTCCAGTGTCAAATGATAGTTAACTCTGCGCTGATTCCAAATATATATGGTTTCTATACACGTTTGTCTGAAATAAGGGAGATAATTTGTTACTTCCGGTTTGAAAATATTCCTTCCGGTATAATTTGATAGTTTACTTGACACTGATTCTAAAAATATGTGGTTCTATATACTTTTACATTAGATAAGTACAAAAATAGCTACTTCCGGTTCACACAAGGTCACTTCTGGTTGGCTCTTCTATAACATATTCATATTGCTTGCAACCTAATGCAAGAAGTCCTATGGCTCTATCATTTATAAATATAAAGTTAAAGCAAACGTCAACATCTAGGACGTTAAATTTACCTATGACCATGACCTAAATTTCAAGGTCATAAAGTAAGGACCTCAAATCAAAAGACCCTAGTTAAGCCAAAATCAAAATTTAGAACATGACCTTGACCTTTAACCTTGACCTCATTTTTCTTTTAGTGGACCAATGACCTCAAATCAAAGCACCCTAGGTCTCTATTACTTATGGTTTACAAGTTACAAATACATATAACTTATTTCAAACACATAAGGGGGAATAACTCTCATATGGAGTCTTCGTAATACTTCGGTCAAAATAAACCGTAACATCCTGAGGATATAACGAGCAATTTGGAAAAATAAATTTGTCGGTTTCTTCAAAGGTTGCGAAGTATAAGAAATAACAAGAAAAACAGTGTTCGGGGAGATAACTCTTACATGGAAAAGTATTCGGTTAAGCGGTGTCAGTTTCAAAAGCGTATAAACTGTTAGATATCATATACCAAATATCTAAGCGACATCTTGCGAAACAACCAAACAGCGAAGAAGAAAATAATTAGGCGGAAGAAAAAAAAATAATTAAAAACCAATTGTTCAGAGAACAATTGAAGGTCTTTCCACCCCGACTTCGATAATAAAGAATTAAATTTTTAAAAAGAAAATGTCATTTCTGGTTCATATAATTTGTTACTTCAAACTGATTTTAAGAATATAAGATTTCTAGTTACTTTTTCATTGAATTAGTATGAGGCCACAGACCACAATTAAATTCCCCTATTAGTTCTTTATAACGTTTTGTTTCATCAAAACAATTGCACCATGCATTTTTGTCAAATCTTTTGTGTGTGTAATGTATAGTACTAGTCCAAAAATATATCCAAAATTCAGAAAGATTGAACCAATCACTCTTACAAATTTAGCCAATACACATCCATACCCCTATGGACAAGTCCAGATATGTTCCGAAAACTGTAAATATCACCTTTTTGCACCTGGCCTAATCACTCTTTCCATATCAAAATCAGTTAAAATACAACATCTAAAAGTTTATTTCACCTCTCTTCTTTTATTTCCACCCCCAAAAAACTAAGAAATGAGTGAGGAAGGGAAAGAAAAAAAATTAAGAAAAAATACACTCTAATTAAAAGGAACTATATTCGTGGACAACGAAAAGCGGGATCATTAATCGTGGTCTTGGGCCTATTAGGGGTCTAAAACTTGACCAATTCTAATAAAACTTGGCATGATTTAAGCTTAGTGTATTTTGAAACAGTTTACAAAGTTTCAAAGACATATGATACCAATTATAAAAAAATGTGGCATTGTTTATATCAGAACTTTGGGTGCTGAGTTGTAGCGTTGAATGAGAACAATTTCAACTATCAAATTTGGGCTTTTAAAAACCAAAAAATACCAAAACTTGCACTTTTTAATGTCTCTACGTATATGTTATCACCTATTAAAAGCAACAGATAGCATACTTCATGTATCAGACTTATAAAAAAGGGCCAGAAGTTAATTTTATATGAGCATGTGCCAGAAAATAGAGGTTTTCAAATGAAGTGAGGCCTTATATGAAGTGTAATATTTTTCACATACCACAATTTTCTGAAGTTGGTAAGTTATAAGAAAACCTTTTACATGTTATAAATGTACTTTTAATGGAAATATAAGTTTTAAATATCATAACACATGTGGATAAAATGGTCTTCTGCAATGTCAAGCTTAAAAAACAGGTTGTCAATTTAGGCCGTTCCCCACATTTGCATATTAAAAAGCATATAATAATATGGGAGATGGAGATATGCTTCTTTTTGCTCAAATCTTTGCTTAGATATGATAAAACATGGAACCTGGATGCAACAAGACTGCCACTTCCAACTATAAATGTAGACAGTATTGTCTGATACAAAGTTATTTACTGTACTTTTTAAAACCGGCATGAAATATCAGCTTCAAAAGGCCAATATTTTAACCATTAGCTATCAAACAAAAGAAAATAAAGGTAGTCTGTGAAACAGACAAGGCCAAACAACCAGTAATAAGTGCTTTTGATACAGATTCAGTGAAATCTACTAAAAGGAATTCAACTTGTATGTGCATAGAACCTCATTTTTCACTTGCTTCATACTGACCGTTAGACTAAGACCATTAAAGCAGCACATTTTGCACTCTTATTCTGATTTTATCTACTTTTTTTTTTGTGTTCAGTGTTAAAAAATGAGTTAAACATCTACATAAGATACCACAAACACAAATAGAAAACAAGAAAAATTTGTCAGAAATATAGTAAGCATGCTACTTTTGTAAAAATATTGAAACAACTGAAAAAGTTCAAAATTGTGCATGTAAGCTGAAATGTCACTTTTTTCAAAATTTCTATCAAATAAAAGTGGAAATCATTTATTCTCATGTAGTTTGACAAATTAATACCAATAGATTATTCAGGGAAGTTGTCAAAGTACAAATTCAATATTTCCTGAATTCACCTGTACATATCACCTTTTTGCTCCTGGACTAATCACTCTTTCCATATCAAAATCAGTTAAAATACAACATCTAAAAGTTTATTTCACCTCTCTTCTTTTATTTCCACCCCAAAAAAACTAAGAAATGATGAGTGAGGAAGGGAAAAAAAAAATTAAGAAAAAATACACTCTAATTAAAAGGAACTATCTTCGTGGACAACGAAAAGTGGGATCATTAATTGTGGTCTTGGGCCATGAAATAGGCTACTTCCGGTTGAAATTATTTCACTTCCGGTTAACCTTTTGAAAGGTCAAATGTCTACCAACCCAAATGCAAAAGAACTAATGGTTTTATAATGAACCAGTATGAATTTTTAGCAAAGGTCAAAATCTAGAACGTGAAATTGACCTTTGACCTTGACCTCAATTTTAAGGTCATAGGTCAGTGATCTCAAATAAAAATATCCCAGATCATTCACTTGTATGGTTGAGGAGTTATACTGATTTCAAATACATAAGGGGAGAAAACTCTTAAAAGGGGTGACCAAAACACTTCGACTTAAAATTAAGTTGCGCCCTATCGTAAACAATTATTTGGCAAACACATTATATCATTAACTGTTACGGTTTCTTTTAAATAAAGATAACAAGCAAAATTCAAAATTAAGAACACCACCCTGACCTTTAACCTTGACCTAAATTTCCTCTAAATGGACCAAGGACTTCATATCAAAAGACTTTAGGCCTCTATGACTTATGCTGTATGAATTTATTCAACATATCACTTATGTTTAATTTTCAAAGGGAAATAACTCCCATAAGATGTGATCAAATCACTTCGGTTAAATTTAACCAAAACATTCCTAAGAGTAGACGAACAATTTAAAGAAAAAAGTTTGTTGATATCTTTTACGGTTTCAGAGAAATAAAAATAACAAGAAAAAAGGAACGCTTGGAGATAACTCCTATAAGAATAAGTGTTCGGTTACACAGGGTGAATGAGGAAATCCCCATCACTGTACGACATCATTGGCCAAATATCCTTTCGATATGACTTAAAACAAACAAAAATCTCGGACGGCAGAAGAAAAAGTAAATAATCAGAACAAAAGCAAAAGGTCTTTCCACGAAAAGTGAAAAGACCTAATAATCAGAACAAAAGAATAGGTCTTTCCACAGAAAAGTGGAAAGACCTAAATATAGGTAGGTCCTGTAATAGAAACCGGACAGGATAGAGATCGAGGCAATTTGGACTGCCATTGAAAAATGAGAGTATATTAGGTACGGACAGAAATGTGTCCTTGCAAAGGACACCTACAGACCCCTTAAAGAGTTGTTGCAAAGGTTCTAACCGTGCTCAGATCGTCGCACTCTCTCTACACGAGGCATCTGATTTAATGTCCCTTTTCTGATCGAACGTGGCTGAGTACTTGTACATCCCGCATATCCAATGGTCGCCCCGTGCACTTTTGTAAGGGTTTTGCGGCCCATGGAAAAGACCGAAATCACCATATTCTATTCCCAAGTCACCCATAGGGTGATTTTGGAAATTAATAGTCCGGCCTGACTGGTACTAACTGTAAAAAAATTAATTTGTCCAAGACATGATGAAAAAGAATATTTTGTTCGACAAAATGCAGAACTTCGCAAGAAATAGTTGTGTACAAAAAGTGAAAATAATATTTGCGTTAAATGAATAAGCCGTACTACAAATGTATCAATCGTGTAAAATGAATATTCCATCAGCAAAACGTATACAATCCCCCTCCTACCAAAAATAAGATGGCCCACTAATGACATATACATAGGTAAATAACTTGATTCATAATATCATTATAATCATAATTATTCAATATATTTATTATCTTTAAATATTCATTATAAAAACAACGTTCTATATATCTAGTTTAATGAACACTTAACCTACACAAGGCCTACATTGACTGTTGACAGCATGTAGGGAAAACCATTTTATCAATGGGAACGCAATAGAGTTTAGTTTAAGTGTTATGTACACTTACACCACAACGAGTTTACCTCAATGAGGACACGGTTTTAGTTTATAGAAATACCTGTGTATTTCAACTTTGTATTTCTTTATAAGGGGGTTGAAAATTCGATGACCTTACTTTGTACTGATGTTCTCTAGTTCTTACTGAATAATTACTATTTATAGATGGAAAACTGTGGACCAGAATTGAGGGATGACGTCATTCGCTTTTTACGCCTTGCATGCCTTTTGTTACATATATCACCACGTGCTCTCAGGAGATACTTTGACCTTGAATTTCATCCTGACAAACTTCAAGCATTACTGCTACAGAACAAGATTAAAATATTCGAACTCAAAGAGAGAAGAATAATAACTCAAACACAATATGATTTATTATATCCAGCAGGTAACTCAGAGTTTATTAAATTGAGACATCTAAGTATGCCATTTTTTAAATATTAAAAGTTTACATAAGGTAAAATGTTAGTCCGTCTGGTTTACATACATGTGTAACGTATACAGTGCTAAGAGTGAAGGCTATTTTAAAAACGTGGGAACATCAGCAATACATAGGTATTTACGATAATTTTCGACAAATTCAGATTTTAAATAAAAAGGTTAAGTACTGTGATGGTCAACTTTCATATAATAAAATTGACGTTATTAACAGGTGTCACAAAAAATGAATTAACATAGTGATAAATAAAAACAAAAGATAAAACACATTAATCATTAAAATATGGAATATGGAATATACAACGTGACAGAACAAATATTTTTTTAACAAGAGATAACACAGCTAAAACTTTTATAGGTAAAATTACAATGCAAATGTATCCCTAGGCAAGATTTAGATGTTTAGGTCGAAATGTTTGGGAAATTTCATTGTATATTTTTAGACGTCCTGTAATAGCGTCATGAAAAACATTTATTAGAAAATTTACTTTGTTAATGGTTATATCAGTCTATTAAAACATTTTATTTTCACAGGTGAAGTGTCCTCAAAGAACTTTGACATGACTTTAATGACATTCCTATTGCGAAACTTTACGCATTTAAGTTTTTCCGGGAAACTTCCACCTGACCATTTGATAAATCCCGGATCTGACATTTCACGGTTGGGACACTACCGAAATGTAATTGTCCACTCAAAAGATGGATGTGTTTCAGATGACGAATTCCATACAATTTGGCGCTGTGTTTCACAGGTAACAGTATAATAACAATGATAACAGTATACACGTAAGGATATGTGTTAAAATTGTCAATTCCATACAGATCAAAAGACAGAGATGGAAAGAATCACATGTTATTGTACTGTCTTTGAGCTAAATGTGCCAAAACACATACCGTATAGCATGTATAGTGTATAATAAGCTATAATACGTCTCGGTATGGCAAAATGTGAATTAAGTCAAAAGAGAAAACAAACGCCCTCATTAATTCTATAAAAATGAACAAAAATTAAATATAGAAGAGAGCGACCAACAACGACCACGAGAATGTAGGTTACTGCCTTTGAACAGGCCCAAGAGGAATATCACAGGGTTTTACATGTTAGCGAGCTCTCAATCCTCCCTTGACATGATTCGTGGTGAAACAACATAAGAACCAACCAAAACAAGAGCACTTCGTTTAACACTGAAGTTTGTGGTTAATCTAGTATATCCATGGAATCTATGAAAATTGATATCCCACGATTAATAATGAATCCACAAGCGTCTTTGATTCCGTTGTATTTTATCAAATTCAGAGCGCGAGGACAAAATGAATTTAACTTTACAAAACTGGTCTGCCATAATTAATTCAACACAAATCTATTATAGCAACAGGAAATTAAAGTATAGTTTTTACAGAGTTCTATTATAATTAAGCAAATTAAGTTAAATTTTAACCACTGCTATTATGACAAAAAGCACTTCAATATTTCATTTGATAGAAATTCAAAATGAAAACGAACGTATTCACCTTTTCGGGTATTCAACAATCCTTTCCGGGTGTCTTTTCTGGTCAAAGACAACCGATTGCTCTATATTTGAAAGACAAACCTGTCCAAAGACTAATATTACACGAAAATGCAATGAATTTGAATGGCAATGTTTTTCGTACTCTTGTGCAGGTTAGCAAATTAGGCATTCTTCGGTAGCAGTTCATGACTTTAACAGAAATCATAGGTATTTCTCCTATTATTCCGTCACAACAAATTGCAGCTAAGAGAAATAAATTTAAAAAGTAACGTGCCTTTAAAAAGAGGGAAAACGACATTACTGCAGTTTCTAAAAAAAATAACTTTTTTCTATAACATAAAAAGAATTTGATGGTCTTTTAATTATTCGAAATAAATTATCGAAGGTTTATTTAGTTATAACAATCCTGTTTTTTTTTTGTTTTTTTTTTTGCTTTTAATATTCAGTCTATGTTAACAAGCGTCGTATTACATGACAAAGCTTACAGAAATCTATAACTTCACTCATTTGCTATCACATGATCTTAAAGAAAACGGGATTAAATTCCAATGAAGTTAACGTTAAAAGAGTAACATTTCACTATAGACATTTTTTTTGTCATGACTTAGGCTATTGGAAGACTTGCACAAGAAGCAATGGGCAATGGCGAAATTTCATTTCTATTAGAATCCACCCTTTCCGGTTCTATTGATATCGATTCAATTCAACAGGAAGTTAATCAACAAAAGCAGTTGGATGAATTGACAGAAAGAGTATCAAAATTAGAAACAGAGAATATAAATCGATCAGGTAAATAATGAAAATACAAGAACTTTATCAACATTTGTATATATATTGTGTCTAAAAATAGCAAAAGTCAACATTTAATCTATCTAGGCGTCGAGTCTTTTTGACACTCTTCTTACAACTTTTTTATTACTACCTGTAACGTCTATGTTATATAGACACCTACGTTTTAATACTGTATTTATATTGTGTCATAGATCAAACTCGTTCAGTGTATGTTTGCTTGTTTTTGTTTAAATGTCTTTTTGCTCGAGTTAAGCCATTTCAATTGGTATTTTATAGTGTGTCTTTTTATGTTGTAATGTTGCACTACTGCCTCAGGTTAGAGGGAGGTTGGCGCCTGTCAAAACGTTTAAACTCGCTGCATTTGTATGCACCTGTCATAAGTCAGGAGCCTGTTGTTCGGCGGTTGTCGTTTGTTGGTGTGGTTCATATGTGTTTCTCGTTATAGCTTACTGTTCGGTATGAGCCAAGGCTCCGTGTTGACACAGTTCATAATTCTATTATGCTGTATTTGTGTACTGTCGTAAATTAATTTTAGGTGTTCGTTGTTATTCTGTGGTTTACATGTCGAAATGTACTATTATATTATTTATTTGTGTTTTTCTCTGTCCTAAGTGTTCTTGCATTTATTTGTACTGTATTCCTGTCACGTAATGTTGTCATTTTAATGGTATTTTTAACATTGCCATATAGGCGGGAGGTTTCAACCCACCATTTTTTCTTAAAATGTCCTGTACCAAGTCAGGAATATGGCAGTTGTTATCAAATAGTTCGTGTCTATGTATGTTGCATTGGCGTTTGTTTTTGTTGCACTTTGGTGTTTCTGTTGTTCCGTTGTTTTCCTCTTATAGTTGATGTGTTTTCCTCGGTTTTAGTTTGTAACTCGGATTTATTTTTTCTCAATCGATTTATGACTTTTGAACAAGGGCATACTACTGTTGCCTTTATTGAAGGCCGTACTTTGACCTATTATTGTTAACTTTTTATACGTTGTGACTTGGATGGAGATTTGTCTTATTGGCACTCATAACACATCTTCTTATTTGTAGTGGATCAGTTTGAAAATAAACTGATGCAGTTACTAAATCAAGTAATATAAATACCTAAGAATATAACTTTAACACGCTTATGAGTGTTATAAAAATAGTTGTTATATTTTACTTAATCTTCAAGAAGTATTTGTTGAAAATAGATTCACGTACATAAAAAAAAGTCTGTTGTCTCTTCCTTAGAAGATAACTTATGCATCTGCTGTATCATTTCAGAAATAAGAAGAAAGACAATTTCAAATTGGTTAGAAGAAGAGAACAAATTTGTTATAACAAAGATTTCAGAACTCGTTACTGAAACATTAACTAAACAAAAAGCAGTTATCCTAGTGGGACACCCAGGATGTGGGAAATCAGCAACTGCGAAGCATGTGGCGTTAAAGTTACGAAGAGAGGAAGGATACGAAATTGAAGAAGTAGATCAGCCTGATGAAATTGTCAAATATTACAATTCGAACACTAAACAATTATTTCTAATAGAAGATATATGCGGCAAATTTGCAATTGATCAGCACAAAGCTGATCAATGGACAGAAAATGACTCGAAAATTGAGAAATTGCTACAGCCAAACACCAATAATAAGTTTATTATTACAACAAGAGTTAGTATTTACAAGAGTGAATGTTTTCCGCAGCTAAAATGTTTAGACATTCAAGAGTGTAATTTTGCAGGTACGACAAAACTTTCAAACGAGGAAATGAGATCAATAGCACTATCTTATATCCCTAGAGACACAGCTGTCAGTATAGACGACTCAACATTTGAGCAATTTCCGTTTTTTCCTTTAATGTGTAGGATTTACACAAATATGACAGAACAAGATCCAAATTTCTTTAAATATCCGATCAAACTTATAGAAAAAGAGGTCAATGACATTAAGCAGAGACACAAGTCTTCGTTTGTTGCACTTTGTTTATTGGTTCTTCACAACAATGCCTTAGAAAAAAAAATGTTCAAGTCAAATTCATCAGGTATCACTAATTGTGTAGAAATGATTATTCTTGAAACTGAAGTAGATTATGTTCTTTCATTAGTAAAAGTTGAGCAGAGTCTTAAACACAAGCTCCATCTTTTTGTTACAGAAAATGAATCGGAATATGTCGCGATACATGATAAGATGTTTGACATCATATCAGTTATTATTATTCCATTAATGTTCAATTGCGTCATCAAATTTGGTAACAGTTCGTTGCTGTCAAGTCGGATTCAGTTCCGTTCACTCGATGAAAAGCCTAATGATTTTGTACAGCTTCTACCCACTGACCTCGAAAGTACCTACTTTGACAGGCTTCATTTGGATATAGAGCAAGGGTGTCATTGGGATGTGTTCGGTAACATACAAACACGTTTCAAACAATACCGACAACTATTTTTAAACAATTTCAGCAAGATGCAGTTAAAGGTGACCACGGTGGGAAATGATGGTTCAACTCCGTTATTTGTTTCAGCATATAAAGGATATCAAGATTTCGTCGAATATCTAGTAGATAAATTTCCAGAACAAATTGTACAAAGAGATGAACACAAAAGATCACCTCTATATATAGCTTGCAAACAAGGGCATGTAGGAGTTGTTAGATATCTGTTGCTCTTTGACAAAGATGTCCATCAACTTCAAAATCGTAACTGCACTCCATTTTATATATCTTGCCAGATGGGACACGTAGATATTGCTAAGCTTTTAATACAGCACGATTCAAAATATCAAAGTGAGATGGACCAATATAAAACTAAAACTAGTGCTCCATTACAAAAAGATGATATGACAAAAGGAAGACACGATATTCTTATTAACAAGCCAATGGACACAGGACTTACGCCGTTGATGGCTGCAGCATATAAAGGTTATGTAGACGTGGTTACATTTCTACTAGATGTCAATGTTGCGGTAGATAGCGCTGACGACAATAAATCGACCGCCCTTCATTACGCCTGTATAAACAATCATGCAGATATTGTACGTTTGTTAGTCAGTTATGGAGCTGAAGTGGATCCGATTGATCAGTGGCATCAAAGTCCATTTTATATTTCTTGCTCTTATGGTTACATTGATATCATCAAACTATTACTCTTTGGTAATAAGCCTATCAAAAGAAGTATTGGTAGCAAAAAAGGTATATCACTATCATCGGACAATCCTTCATTATGTTTTCCTTTCAGTCATCATAACCTTCAAATAAACAAATGTGTTGATCTGAATGTTATGGACTTCGAGGGTGATACCGCTTTACACGCTGCTTGCTATAACGGACACATTGAAGTAGGGAAATTATTGATTGAAATGGGGATGAATGTAAATGTAGTTAACTACAAAGGACAAACGCCTCTCTTGATGGCTTGCGCAAAAGGATTCTTTAATATAGCAAAATTTTTAATTGATAATAATGCTAATATTAATCAAAGCGACAATGAAAAGTTTACGCCTTTGTTTTATGCGTCGCAAGGTAATTTAGATACTGTCAAATTATTGATTAAACACAACTGTGATGTCAATGCTAAAAACTGTGATGATATATCCGCTTTACATAAAGCATGCAGCAATGGACACGCAAAAATAGTTGATATACTTATAGGTAACGGTGCAAACATAAACGCATGCGGCGGAGGGGGTAAAACGCCTTTATTCTATGCTGCAAGAAATAATAAACTTGATGTGATAGAACTTCTTTTAAGTCGCGGAGCCAAAGTTAATTATCGGGAGGGTGACGGAGGTACTCCTCTTCAAGGTGCTTGTAAATACGGGCACAGAGATGCAGTAGTCAGTCTCTTAAAGTACGACGCTGATGTAAATGCTGCGCGTTGTCTACAAATTAAACCAATGGTCCTAGCAAAAGAAGGTGGTTACTATGACATCGAAGAGATCCTGCAGGAACAATTAAAGAAAATGAGAGTGTAATTAATCTGTTTATGTATCAAAAGTTATATTTCAACTGTCGATAACGATCTTCTCCTTTAGCTGTACTCCAATTTGGAAACCCCGTTTGAACTATTTTTGAAGCATATGTTATGGCATTGTAGTTTTGTTGAACACATCGATGTCAACATATGTTACGCATGTGCTCCGAATATACATAAATTTAGTGTGCTTCGATTTGCACAGCTGTTTTAAAATGCAGTTGTGATTTTAGTTGTGAGTTTGTTTAATTAATTCTTCCATTTTAGTGCTCGTCAACTGAAACACAAAAGTGAAGTTAACTTTATACTGTATGTGTACAAACTTAAATTAAGATGTATAAAAAAACACTACAAGATTTTTTTTGGAATTAGAATACTATATCTATCTCGATATATTTTGATATTTATGGGTTTTTTAATTTTTTTAATTTTGAGGCGTTTACTTAAGCTGTTAAAACAAAAGGGATCAATTTATTTATCGAGTTGGTTTTCTTCTTTTTACAAATAATGTATTGAATAAAATTAAAGGAGGATTGTTTTGTAAATACTAAACATTTTTGAAAGATTAATAACTAACTTACCTCGAACTTTCATCAATATGTTATCTGGGATTGAATGATTTTTTTTAGTTATTAGATTAACTTATTAACATGGAGATATCTATCATTTTTCAAAGAATTTCTTTTAGATGTATAAAAAAAAATCAAAAAAATCAACATTATATTTTTACATTTTAACACGTCTGTATAGACGGGTTTATCTATATTTGACCTAGAAAACATGGGCGCATTCATTAAAATCTCACGTGACCGATCAACCATTACAGCCGTGAAAAATAACGCACGTGCATTGATAAAAACATTATCGATTTTCTGTTTACATTTGTATTTCTTTCATTTTCTGATTTATTTTACTATGGATAGTACTAGTGCCGAACGTATTAAAAATCTGGAGGCAATTCTTGTGCAGCTAATAGTTGTACAAATAATCGTAGAAAACTTCAGATGTAGAAAAATCAATGTGTGAATTACACAACGAGTTGCACAATGACTGTCCTTGACAAACTTACAAAACTTGAATGGATCAAAGCTATTAACAGCAAAACTTTGCCTAAACAAGTTTATGGATGTTCCGAACATTTTCTTGATGGTGCGTCGACTACAAGAAATCCGTTTCCCAAATTTAAACTTGGTTAAGACAGTAAAGTTACATGAATGAATCTGATGACGATAATGCATCTACCTCTACTTGTTTTGAAGCTCTAGACATGTCTGCAAATAATGACAATGAAACGTATCCCGATGCTATATGTAGTTTTAATGTAACTTATCCAGAAACTGTAAACGAATATACCCAGTATGAAGAGTCGGACTTCCTAATTCATGACGACCATCCCTATGCTGAAAAGTGGTCAGACATTCATTCAACGTCAACTCAGACAAAACTTTTATTGACAGAGGAGAAAGGAGTTCAGAATAAAATAGAAGGGTGGATCATTTCAGCGAATACAAACATTGTGACTGACAGTGACGCCTTACTATATGTAATACCAGCCAGATACATGTATATATAGACAGGATATTTACTAAACTAAACAGTGTGTGTATGAGTTGCACCTTCAATAAAAATATATATATATATATATATATTTATATATATTTATATAGTGAAACAAGGGGGAGGCCACAAGCCTGGTTCATGTATCCCGTCTCTTGATCAATCTTTGTGAACTGGTTTTGCTCACATATATCAGTGCTTATTTCACTCTTGCTTTAAAACGTTTTTTTCCGATGCAAGAATTACCAAATACCTTTGACACCATTGCAAACTACCTTTACCAATGTCAGTTTCATTCTATTTTTTTCACATTCAGGTGCAAATACACATGTATATATATATAATGTTAGTTGTGTAATGCAGGGCCCTTCTTCAGTTTATAACTCACAATTCTTTTCCAATGTATGCTTTTCCCTTTTTATTGGGGGGGGGGGGGGGGGGGGGAGGGGCTCATTGTTGAAGACTGTGAGGTAACCTATTATTGTTAACATTGTTGTCCTTTGCTTTTTTTGTTGATATATTGTAGTTGTCTCATTGGCAATCATAACTGTACATGTACCACACCTGATTACAATTTTTTAAAATAAAATATCATTTTATACTTCTTTACATTTTTTGTCACTGTACATGTATAAAACCTGTTCTCATTGTACTCAACATTATTTAATTTTATGTTAACATTTGCCATATACAAGAAAGTGTCCCTACTTAAAATGTACACATGTCAATTCTTAAATTAACTAAAGTAAAAATGAACGAAAGAATAGAAAAAATTTAATCAGCAGGTGCAATTTTAATTACTTCATAAAATTTCTAAAAATTCGACTTTGTACAAGACGATCATTGTCAATCTCGTTTACTATTCTGTTCAACATTTTATTAGAAAAAAGTTCTCAATCTGCTAACTAGTTGCTGAATATATTCTTGATCAAAAGCTAAATCTATAAGAATATTGTCATCAGGACTTCTCAAAATTAAAAAAATTGGCTTAATGTAACCTGGTACAAAACATTGTTAATTGTATTTGCATAAAGTATGCTCTGCTCCATTTTTTCTTCTAGACATAAATCCCCTCAGTATTGTTCTCTACATCATATCTTGAATAAGTGATTAGTTCATCTAAACAACTCCATTTGTTGGCGATAGGAAATGGGCATTTTACTTCCAGTATTGTGTCCTCATTCATTATGCCATACGGACTAGCTGAAAGCCAATTTTCTGTCAATGACACATACATCCCGTGAACAAAAACGTAATAGCCTGTAAATAACTTTTCGCAATAGGCTCTTGCTCATTACCATACCGTGTAAACTTATATTTGGGTACAAATGTTCTTTAATAAAAGTAGAGCAATCTGTCGTTTCCTTTATTGGAACCTTGCTAGCACTGGTAGCGGTAAGGCGTATTTTCTTGGCGTCCTTCCACAACACACTGCCACTCTGTCCTTTGGTATTCATATGCAATTCGTGTACCTTAGCAGGCGTCAGAGTAATGTACTTCTTCAAGAAGTTTGAACACTTTCCGCATGAATCGCCATGATCCTCTTGGATGATATCCTTTGCAAATTGTTTGCAGGTAAAACGTTTGCTTGCCGTTGTTTCTTTAATACTATATAAAGGCAGTAAATTTGAATTGTTGACGGCTTCCTTAAACTCGCTATCTAGAGTATACATGGGTGTATCACGACTATCCGATATGTTGTTATCTTCATCATTGTCAATAACATCTTCCCCTGCATTTGGTTTTTTTTTAAATAATGTTCAACAGGGACATTGGTTCCACATTTCTTGTTGTTCCACGATTCCATTTAGCATTTTCATCAGTACATGCTAAACCTGTCAAATTGTTTCTAACTGCATGCTCAATTTTTCACAAATCAGCTCAAACATGACTACAGGTATGGCCTTGACCAGCCATACACGAACTCCACCCGTTTACGATTGACCCATCCTCGTTACAATATACAAATACCTCATTTGTTCTAGAGACTGTTTGTGATGACCGTACCTCTCCTTTAAACATAATTGTCTTATCATCGTAAATATGATGTGTTGTAACACCTACGTTTCCACGTTGAAAATAGTTAAAGCTTTTAAGTTCTTCATTTGTTGACCGTCAACTGCTTTTGATTCAACAAGAAAGTTGTAAATATCTCCGTACAACATATTTGGCCACACACGCATGTCGTCAATCCATTTCTTGACTTTATCAACACCCGGAGGTTTCCATGCTTTTGCTACTGTTGCCATTATGTTGATTTTCTTCGCTAAGATTGATAAACGCTAAACCTTGTTTTCAATTTGTTCACGGGTATAATGGCGACCGCTATTACGACGACACCTGGGAGTCACGTCACTAACTAAGGGGGATAATCGAAAAAACTTGTTTATAGATCCAGTATTCATGCATATTTTTCTTAGTCCAGCCTTTATGCTGTAGGATTATATTTCAAAGTCAGTTTCACTCGGTTTGAACAGTCGAAAACATGTACAAAAAAATTATAATCAACTGCATTTTGACAGATCGAACTGGCAGATTTGCGTATACCAGCATATGAAGTAACACAAATAGAAGACAAACCAAATCATAAAATGTTTCATTGCTTAATTTAAGTTCATAATATGCTTCTCAGGAGATAGGAAAGAAATTGCAATTTCTTTGTTGAAGGTTTTATTACTGTCACTGACCTCGAGAAAAAGACGCTTAATAAACGAGTTTAATGTACCGGAATAACACATGTAACACACTGCTAGAAATTGTTAATGAAAAAATAATATATACACTCTAACTTTCGTCTGGTGATAAAAACTTCTTTGGTCATTTTTTTTATTTTAGCCTGTATATGGGATGCCACTTAATTTATGGGTTTTGGGTAGTCACTTTTAATTTTTAATTCAATTTCAGGCTCTGTTTGTAAATATTTTTGTTACACATATCATCAAGGGTCATAGGGATGATTAAGGTATAAACAAATACCATTCATGAATTAAATTTTAAAAACGAGGAAACATATGATATAAAAACAGAATTTCATATTTGAGTGAAAACAATATATCATTGAATTACTACATGCAAATTTCAAATGAACAAACTCCAAAATGTTTTGTAAAAATCAAGAAATAAATACATTACTCGCACCTATTTTAACTACGGAAAATTCATATACGTTAATCATTTTGTTATTATTAAACACCCGTGCAACCACGCATCCCATATTGCCTGATGAGACCCGACACTTCTTTAGTGTTTCGGCAGTTAAAGCTTGGGATGGTCATCAATAGATCTAGACATTATGACAGGTCTGCCATCATCAGGAGTCCAACTGTCAATTTTATGTCCAAGTCTTTAACTTTGATCTGCAAAGCATATTTCCTACACTTTTATGTTTTTTATACGCAACTATTGGTGCAACATTGAATATTTGTACACAATCTTCGTCAAACTGCAATACATGCCAGTGTTTCATGATACGTTTTTATTATTTTACGTATATATGGGTTATATTTAGTTATTAAAACTAACGGAATATTTTCTGTTTCCTTCGATTTATTTTGTTGTAATAATTCAATACGGTCAATTGATAAAGCATCAGTAATACTATCATCTATTTCATCGTTATCAAAACCCCTATCTTATAATTTCACTTTGAAATTAGTTTGATTGTTTATTAATTTGTTATGGTCACTTGTGTTTCTAATATGCCGTATTACTTCACCTTTAATAAATTCTCGGAATACATGCTGCGAGTGACAGCTATTTCTATGCAGATAGATATAAGAATTTGTTTCTTTAAAATGTATTTCAAGTTCAAGAATGCCATGTGTTGTAAATCTTTGACCTTTAATTACATCAACATCTAAGAACGATATTTTATCGTTTGAGATTTCATAGGTGAACTTTAATAAGGTATTATAATTATTTGCAAGACGAAAACATTCTGTAATTTTATCTGATGTTCCATCATATATTATGAATCCATCGTCCCTATATCTGTCATGATAGAATATTTTGTCTTTATGTTGAAATGCAGAAATTATGTGATTCTTTATTTCGAACATAAGTATGTCACAATTTCCGGTGAAGGGACTGCACCAATTGCCGTACCTATTTTTGTTTTTTATATATTTTCCCATCAAATTCAAATACATTGTTTTCTAAAATGAGTCTCAACAGATGTATTAATTCATTGACCAGCGGAGCATCGACTTTGAAGTTTGATTTGTCAAAATTGTCATAGGCACGTTCAACAACACTTAATAAAGCAGCTTGAGGAAGATAAGTAAACATCTGTGTTATTTCATACGAAACCAAAAGGCTATTTGCCATAGGTTTTAATTTTTCATTGATATTAATGAAAGATGTAGTATCTTTTATATATGTAGAACTATAGGTATAAGAAAATAATCAACATAATGACCGATAAGTTCAGTTACGGAACCACACTGTGATATAATTGGTCTGCCAGGTGGAATTACATCTAATTCATTTAATCCATCATGTTGTATTTTTTTTAACGTCTCCGTTTCAAGACGGTGAATTTTTGGAAGAATATAAATTCTCCCTAGACGTGCATCTCTTAATTTTTGACCATTTGTTTAAAATTTAAATGATATGTTGTCGATAATGCCTTGGTCGTATAACGATTTGTAACATATTCAATAACCTGGGTTTTTAATTCTGCTATGTTAAATGAATCTAATTGGCAGTAATGTTGAGTATTTAGTTGTCTTGTGACTTCTGCTATGTAGTCTAGCCTGTCTAAAATAACACAATTTGAATTTTTATCTGCCTTTTTTATTACTATTGTTGTATCATTTTTCAAATTTCGTATTGATATTCTTTCGCCCTTAGTAAGATTGTTTTTTTATATTTTTTTCTATTGGTAGAAAAGATAATTCAAGCTGCGTTAAATTGATATAATTTCAAACGTATGGCACGTATAAGCAGGTTTATATCCTGCATTGCTACGAAATGGTTGAAGGTCAGTTTTTTCTTGACTGAACATATATCCACATCGTAGTTTTCTAGCAAATTCATTGTAGTCTTTTAGTTTATACATTTTTGCATTTTTGCTTGATGGCGTTGGCATAAATTTCAAGCCTTTCGCCAACAGGATATATTCCTGATTTGATAATTTGCGTTTTAATAGATTAATTACATGCTTTTATGCTGCATATTATATTCATTCCGTTCTTTTTTATTGTAGAATCGGAATTTTTGGTTTTTAGCATTTCTATTAAAACGACGTGCCATTTTTGAGTTCACATTGGGTGATTCTCTTAGCTACGTGCCTTTGTTGAGCTCTCATTTGGTGGCTGAAGAATTTCTAGGTTTACACGGCATTTGCCAGAAAACTAAGATGTAAATATCATTTTGACAAGGGTGATAGTTTTAAACGTCATCCCTTATTAA